AACAGCTATCCGAATGATTTTCTCCATCAGTTTAACAACTTCACTAGTTAAACTAACGGGTCTATAGTCACTAACTAAACCTCTACCCCCAGCCTTATATACCGGACTTATAATGGCGTCTTTCCAGTCTCGAGGAAGTCTGTACTGTCTCAGAGACATGTCGAATAGTATCGCTAATGGTTCAGCAATTTCATTTGATATGGCTTTCATAATCCTAGGATGAATATCGTCAGGACAACTGAACTTATCGGGTTTGAGATGCTGTAGTAGCCTTAAAACAGTATCTTTCTCAATGACTACAGGATCCATCAGCGAGCCATCACGGTCGCGACGAATCATTGATCGTTCCTCATTACCGATAGAAAACACTTTACTAAAGTATTCCGATAAAGCTTCAGCTTTTTCGGCATCATTCTCTGCTAAGATTAACGTATTTTCTCGTATCAAAAGTGATGGAATTCCATCACTTCTCTTAGTTCGCCTTTTTATATACGAGAATAACCGTTTCGGACTATATCTAGAATCCCTAACCAATTGTTTTTCGTATGATAGTCTAGTCTTACTTATTAACGCTTTACAGGCATTCCTAATCTTACAATAACTTGATCTGTATTGATCTAAGCCAGTAGAGATGAACATATCCCAGTGATTCTTCCTTTTTCTAAGGAGTTTCCTGACCGTTTTAGTTATCTATGATGGACTATTATTCGGTCTTCGCGGTACCAGGTATGGTATGAACGGGGACGTAACTAGTCTAAATTTACCTTTAAATAGAGACCATGCTTCTTTAACTGATATGCTATTATCTATTAACCAATTTGTCTTAGCAGCACATTCCTGAATGGCTGATATGTTAGCTTTCCATACATTTGGGCGAGGTGTAACCTGATCGTATAACATGTCCCTATTTCGAAACGTGAATGACAAAACAGCGTGGTCGCTGTTCACTAACGTCGGGAGAACATTTAAGTCGACAATATCCTCAGTCTCATGAGTGATTACCAAATCCAGCGGAGAAGAACCCTGGTTAACACCAAAACGTGTGGGTTGGGATACATGCTGTAATAGTGCATGCACCATTATTGTTATCAGGAATTTACTATCAAAGGAGTTTATAGATCCTTCTGTGGTCATATCAGTCCAACTAATATCAGGTGCGTTAAAGTCTCCCATTATCAAACATCTGGTATTTTCGCTCCAAAGATGAATATGCTCTAAAACAAAGTCATCAGCTAGGCATATTGGGCTCCGATAGATGACACCTAGAATAAATGTACTACATCCTATAGCCAACTTACAGCTAATGACTTCACAAGTGCCGCTATCATGGGATTCGCTAGTAGAGGAGCGGATATTTATGCTATTGGCTATATATAACAGGACGCCGCCTCCTTTCCCACATCTATGTCTATCACTCCTGATGCAATGGTATCCGGATAATTCTGGAGTAATGTCTAAGTCATCGACTAACCAAGTTTCTGTCACTGCTACTATGAGTGGCTTTAACCTGTCCACTAGTACTTCTAGTTCATAGAACTTATTTCGTAGACTACGAGCGTTGTCATATAAAACTCCTAAGTAGAACATCCTATGGACACAGCCCTTGGTAGCATTCGTTTCCAAGACCTGACTATCCGAAAACTCACTAGCCGGAGATTTTCCTCGCCGTTTTGCCGACGGGTTTCAAGTTCAGCTAGTGCTTTCTTCCTTTTTATTCTATCTTCGAGAGATATGTCAGGTCTAACTTGGATGTCAGAATTGTCGTGACAACGACAGCTACTTAACTAAAGATCCCGTTGCTTCTCCGATCCTAGGATTACCTAAAGGAGTCTGCATGGACGGGGTTCAACATTGTCCTCGGTCCTCTTGCCTATTCTTACCAACTTTTTAACCTGAACTCCTTTGGAGTTATCTGGTAAAATACTACGAATGTAGCTTTTCTAAGTCATGCGCGTGTCTAATTTTCGGATCAGGGTCATCTGACTCCCGCAATTTGCTCACAATAATATTCGATGTTATTAGATTATTAACCGAAAAAACTCAGTAAAATATCACCTTAACTGGACTATATTCAATTAAAGTGTAAATCGTAGTTTTGATACGTAATTTACGATCAAAACAGTTTACTAATTTAACGAGAAACAATACCACTGTCCTTTTTAGATAGCGCGCGTCAGAAGTTGCACTGAAAAGTTACAAATCTCCATCACCTTAAAATTGTTTGTTTCCTGGAATTAAAACAGAAGACATGCCAAAAAGACTTAGAGAAATTTACTTCGCCAAAAGAAGAATCTCAGTCATATTCTCAAGCAAAGAATTGAGGATTGAATAAACAGGGACACCGCACTAGTGGTTGTTTTGAAAATCTTTGCAACGGTTTGTGCTTCTTTCGTCGATGTGTAGTGTTTGATATTGTGATTGTATGGTTCACTTAAATAGTACATTAGAAACAATTAAAAAACATTTTTCGTGTTAGTCTGGTTTAAGCAATTCAATCATTGGTAAAGGGATTAAAAGCTTCCACTTTGAGACTACAATATACGGACGAATCAGTCATATATAAGATTACATGTCTGCAATTTTGGTGCAAAATTCGTCCATCCATTTGGCTGAATAGCGTTTCGTCATTTCGCGTCTGTCAGTTTCGTTATTGAAACACAAAATCTAATTTCACGTACTGGTTAGTAGGTAGACATCCCCAAGGTCACTTTATCGTCGCTGAAAGGTCGTCCATGAATCATGGTCTTACCGTTTTCGCTTAACGAGCTTACGTATCTACTAGTAGTTCGTAACCAGTGACTCCAGGCTGTTTCTAGTTTCTGGATGTTACCGATCCTAAGTGGGTGCCCAGGAGTATTTAGGATTCTATGAGCCATTAAATCACCTCTAAGACACCTATACTTCAGTGGGTAGATATTCACTAATTTGGGGTGCTCTTCATTACTTTTGGGCTTGTGTCCCGGGACTGACTATGGCTCGCTTCGGTATTCAATGAAGTGTGCTTTTGTCCTTTTGAAGTGAAGATGGGAACACTATACTTCCATATCCTAAATGGGGTCATATAAAACTTAAAGAACAAGTGAAAAGTTATGCAGTCAAACTGCCTAAAGATGTGTTTCGACTATATCAGTGCAAGGTTTGTTTGAACGGCGTTTTTGCTTCAGTTATCGTAAAACTAGGTCATAGTGTATCAATACTCCTAGGTCTCTTGCGATTTGGGATACCCCTAAAGGGGAGTTACCTAAGTTGTATGCGTAGTCTGTAACATGCCTCAGATGAACCAGTATGCACTTTGGAGTTCTATGAGTCGGTTGTTATCCGCCCAGCTTTACGGTCTATTCAGATCATCCAGGAGTGCCAGCTTTTCGTCTTGGTTGGAAATTGTGCAAAATGCTTAAGTTTGGTTCATCTTTTTTGTTCCTCGGATTCTTGTGTGTCAGTACTGTCAACTTTCACTTATTCTTGGAATTACGTCTTTCAGCACTTTGATTTCAGTAGTCACATATCGAAAAAGTAGACAGATGCATGAAGTCAACTAACATTCTATTGAGTCATGCGAGAAATCAGATCAACTAATTTTTTGTACGTTGATATACATGTTTCTATAGATCTGTAATATGAACACAGCTTTACTACCTTAATCTCACCAGAACCTTCCATTAAGCACGTGGGATTGATTATGAACAATCATTCTATTGATCATATAGTTTGAAGTGGATAACCACACACATTAGGATCGTATGTGTGCTTACTGGCATTTTAGTTTTGACCTGCAAACCCTTTTGCTATATTTAATAGGATTTATTTATAAAAGACGTACTGTAGAGTGATAAAGATGCTAAACTTAAATCGTAACAGTAAACTAGGGTTTAAAACTTCGTAAATCGAATTTTATTTGTTGAAGTTTGCAGAATAAAAGGAATCATGGGTTTCCTAAGCCTTCACTACAATCTTATTTTTGCATATATAGGGCGTGAAAAACCCAACAATCGCCATAGCTTCTCGTCTCAAGATTCCTAGTTTCATAAGCTCTAGTATTTGGATGGATTATTATTACTCGATATAGTTAGGTCAGGGATTGAGGACCCCATCTCTTCCCTTGGTTTACATGTCAGGCGACTAATCCGGTAGTTCATTCAAAAGCATTTCCAAAATTATATACATAGACGGGATTAGATTCTGCTTTTTCTGTTGAGTAGTCATCAGTTACTGTTAGAATTCTCTCTTATGGTTATAACCCAGCTATTTCTTATTGCTTAGTATTCTCGGACACCGATTCACTCGAAAAGTCCTCCAAATCAGAACATGGCTGAACAGGAAAAGAGATTATATTCTAAGTAACAAGGTTAGATGGAAGTAAGAAGCACAATGGGAAAAACTTTAGTATATTTATAGTTTTCACTAAGTATTGAATTAGCCAATCAGCTTACACCAAAGCAATCGTGCATTGAACCTGCTTTAATCCAGTCTATGTCCCGCTGACAGTTACACTAAATGCTATTAATGTATTCGATATATGCGTTTAAGTAGAGACGGGTTATACCCAATAATTCTTATGTTGATTGTCACCATCGGTTAACATTACCATTGTAGACTACATTCCTGAAACCGGTGAGACAAAAATGACTACGTTGTTAAACCACTTCCTGCCTCATCAATACACTTTTTATTAGCCCAAGATATTAACTATTATATTTCCTTTGTTTGTTATTAAGCAAAAAGCCTAGTTTTTGTTAAGGGGATCACTAGATACTGTTATCCATTTCCCTCAGGTTTTAGTTTATTTTCTGGGTATCTAAAATACATCCTGTAGGAATTCGTTGTGCGAATTACCAGGTATTTACACAAGCTGTTGGTATAATGTCAGAACAGTTTATGCTTATTAACGGATCTTATTTTTAGTTTCGTTATCTGAATGGTCTTACAACTCAGGAATCTATATTTTTACATAATTTCAAAATACATTGCTTAATTGAACACCATGCACTTCAATTTTGTAGATGTCACCTGTCGAAGAACAACAAGGCGATAAACCCATCCAACCTAAAATTGGTATAATATATCCTCCACCTGAAGTAAGGAATATCGTCGATAAAACGGCGAGTTTTGTAGCACGTAATGGTCCAGACTTTGAATCTCGTATTCGTCAAAATGAGATCAGTAATCCAAAGTTCAATTTTCTGAATCCAGCTGATCCATACCACGCGTATTATCAACACAAAGTTCGAGAGTTTGCTGAAGGGAGAACACCAGAACCTGCTGCTCTAAAATTAACCATTCCCAGTGCTGCTCGTCTTGCTCAGGATACTCCAAAATCGATTCAAGAAACATTTACACCCAAGGATCCACCAGCTGAATTTGAATTTGTTTATGATCCACCTTCCATTAACGCAGTTGATATTGACATAATAAAACTTACAGCACAATTTGTTGCAAGAAATGGTCGACAATTTTTAACTCAGTTAATGAATCGAGAACAGAGAAATTATCAGTTTGACTTTCTCCGTGCTCAGCACAGTATGTTTGGTTATTTTACAAAACTTGTGGAACAATACACTAAAATCTTAATACCACCTAAAGACGTTGTTTCGAAATTGGAGGACGAGTTAGAGAAACCGAAACAGCTGCTTGACGATGTAAAATATAGGGTTGAGTGGCATAAGTATCAAGAACGTCAGCGTAAGCGTGAGGAGGAGGCTGCAGAACGTGAACGTGTGGCGTATGCAATGATTGATTGGCATGATTTCGTAGTTGTTGAAACAGTTGACTTTCAACCAAACGAAGCAGGCAATTTCCCTTTACCGACTACTCCTGATGAAGTTGGAGCACGCTTACTAGCTGAAGAACGTGGTCTTCAGCCTCCTTCAAAGCCGTCAGCCCCTCCACCCCCTGGTTCACTTGGATTAATGCCAACTGATATAGATGGAGATGATACAAGTGACCAAGAATTAGATGAATCAGAAGATGAAAATGAAGCTTCTGGGCTTTCTCAACCTAAAGGCCAGGGTCTGATCAATCATAGCCCTCTACCATATCTTGATGAGACAGAAAATCGGGTTACTGATGATATCCCAACCCCACCTGCTGCTAATATGACTGATATAGCTGGAGAAGATGATATGGAGTTATCAGATGATGAGAATATTGCTGAAGAACTCACTCAGCAAAACAAAGTATCAGCAAAACAGGTACCATTATCTTCTGATCAAGTCATTATTCGACATAACTACGACCCAAAAGCTACAAATATTAGAAGAGCAGAGGATTCTGTGCTTTTAGTATCACCTTTCACTGGCGAGAAGATTCCTGCTAACCAAGCTCCAAAACATATTAAGGTTGGGCTACTCGATCCTAAGTGGGTCGAACAGCGTGATCGAGAGATTCGCGAGAAACGTGAACAAGAACAAGTTTATGCTGCGGGAAATCTGATTGATAGTAGCTTAAAGCAGCTTGCTGAGCGTCGCACAGACATTTTCGGTGTAGGAGTTGATGAAATTCAGATTGGCAAGAAATTAGGAGAACAGGAAATAGTCAAGTCTGATAAGCTAGTTTGGGATGGTTACTCTGTTACTACAGATGTTGTTGCCAAAAGAAACTTAGAAGCAGTTACTGTTAAAGATAAGCTAGATTTATTAGAGTTCCAACAGAAATTGGATTCTGCTCGCGATAAGATTGGTCCTCAAAGTGGGGTGCTCCCTGCTCTAGGCATTATCCCTCCGGTACTGCACAAGCCAACAATCTTGTTGCCACCACCAATGCAAGGTGGAGTTACACAACCTCCACCGCCCCCACCCCCTCCCGGCCTTGTAATGCTTTCCAGTGCGCCACCACCATTACCACCAGGTATATTTCCTCCCGGAATGCCACCTCCACCCGGCATAGCTATACCGAGTTTCATGCCTCCACATCCACCTATCCCACCACCACCACTTCCACCTCCAACACCTGCTAATGATGGAGAACCGGAAGCAAAAAGACCGAGAGAATAGTTGAGTAATATTGGTCAATAAGTATACTTTTGCCCCCTTACCTTTGTATCAACTAGCTACTATCTCAAATATATTTTCCCGTGTTTCAATGGTTTTATTTATGTTTATTTGTTATTCTCCGTTAGTCTTTTTCAGAGTAGTCTTTGATATCCAGTTACTCGTTGCAGTATGCTGTGTATATTGTAAACGACTTATAGTGACGAATTTACACTGATACACGACTTCATTGATTGTCATTAGTTCAAAGTAATCCATATTAAAAGTAGGAGGATTCGCTTTTTATTTTTATGGGATACGAATCCAAAGATGTAATAAGCTTGATGATTAGTTTCTGCTGTTGTCCTTTTTATGATATTTTCATTAGATTTGTGTATATGCTTATTTTAAGTATCAATCTGTCATTCAATTATCAAACACAACCAGTTCTGTCCGTGATACAAATAAGTCAACTACATCGTTATCTTTTCATGATGAAGTAATTGAAGGTATTGTGTGATGTGATAATGTTAAAGCGCTTTGTCTAGGTGATTAATAATCCATCAAACACTTTTTTAGAAATAGGTTGAAAACATCCAATACTGAAATGCGATCATTGCTCTTCTAGCTTTATCGATTGCATGGTATTTTTTGAAGAACGGGATGAATAAATGTTAATGATTGATATAAATACGAATGTTATTGATTATGCGACTGATTCTGGCAGTATCGCGAAAGTCTACGTTAAAATCGTGATTTTGTGTGTGTACTAGATTAAATGCCCTGGTGCGGCCGAGAGTAGGGGGAGTCCGCTCTCCTTCTCGAAATGCTCTCACATGGCCATGCGTATGTAGCCATTGCCAGGGAAGTCTTACTCACTTCCTTCTCGTGGCAGGGATGTTTACGAAAATGAGAGGATGAAAAGCGAATGTCCGGCGCCTTAACCGGATTCCAAACCAATGGTGCACAAATGGTGTATGAACCAATTGTTGGTCACCGGCTTCCATGGGACTGCATCTCCTTACGATACTCCACTGCCTTGTGGGTCAAACCTTCAGGTCGAAGGCTTGGGATGTGGCCCCCTAAGAAAACCACCTGTTTCGTTTTGGGCGCCCGGGTAGTATTACAGCCCTCACACACATCGAATGAGATTTGTGTGGCGCATATGTATTTGGTGCCTCCTTGTACCAATATCTATGTGTTAAGATAAATAATAAATGATTGAGGACTGCAATGAACTATAAACGTTTGCTGTTATAAGATGAAATCGTATCGTCTGTGGAAGTTTACTCGTTGGTTAGAATCCAACTGTGTTCACTTGATTTTTCTCCTAGTAAGATAGAGTATTTTTAAGAATTATATTACTTAGTTATGGGATAAGAAAAGTCTAATACATTCTCAGTAAGTTCAAAAATGTAAATAACATTATAGGACGCGATTTCAATAAATGGAAGTCATAATTGATGAGGTTTTAGAACTGATATTGCTAGTCTCTCGTTACATTTCAGTTGTGGTGGTAACGTTTTTTTTTGAGTGTGATGATTAAACATAGAATACAATCTTTTCTGATGGTCATCCACTTTTTGTCGTTGAATATACGTTGAAATACTGTTTAGTGCAATTAATGAACATAAACGAGTGATAATTATATGGTTGCAGTTAGCTGTTGGATTATTGTACGTGCTCATTTAGTTGTAGTCTTGCTTTATATTTATTCATATTGAAACAGTCAACAAGACAATTACTGACAAGTGAAAGTTCAAAATATTTTGTATATCTATTTGCTAACTAATTTATTCTGCAATACATAGTTGTGATGGCTAGAAAAAGCATTTGAAATGATAGTTAATTAAAAGTTTTCCCGATTGTCTAGTCCTAGGAAACATCGTTTTCAATACTGTCCACCTTATTCTATAAATACAGTATGTAACAAAAACCTCCGAAGTCACCACAATCGGTTATTACACAGTTCATACTTAACGAATCTGAACTTCTTTCTTGGATATTAAGATGATTTATTGAGCCTTTATAAGCTAGGACGATCGAGATTTCATTATGCTCACTCATTGTCTATTCGTGCACGAAGTTTTGCTTAAAATAAGAGTGGGATTATAGCTTTATTTTGGTCAGATATTGGATCTGTGTTCGGTTATCATTGATCGTTATTAAATAGAGAGTTACGAGTCACATAAATCGATACTTCTTGTAGGGGTTATCCGACTGTAGCTGCTACCTTGACGCGGTGGTCGGGCTTGCCTACCGTGATGACCCAATCGATTGGCTGGAACATATGTTCCTGTAGGTTCTACCATGCCAAGCAGGTCGATTGGAGAACGGTAAGACTAAAAGCAGCAACTCATGGTCTGAGGGCGAAATCCTAATGCTGAGTGTAGAGGGGTGTGACAGAAGTAAGGTGTTTCCCTCGAACAACCAGCATCTGCAGCGATGCTGTCTTCTCACAAGGAAGAAAGGGGTTAGAAAAGGTCGACCCTAAGTATGTCACACCTCACCTTACTTCACGGATTCCCGTCTCTGGTAGTAAGGCCATTTGAAGGACGGAGCCAACACGTCAAAAACCTCCCACAAGAAGGCCGTGAGTGACCGGCCTCGAGCAGTTGTCCCTTGGGCTCTGTGGTCACGCTCCCAGGTCGTTAAGACCAGCACTAATCCAACTTCCCTTTAAGGTGGTTCCTTAAGGAGTGCCCTTCTACGGTGTGGGCAGCCGGGAAGTGACATGAGCCCTCATACCCCTAACAGCAGACGAGGCTAAGTTGGTCACAATCAAATACTTCCTACACCTCCTAATAACTCTATCATCTCCACCACTAACCCTTCTCACGTTACTTTATCATCCCGCACCGCTAGTGAAAACGATTCGAGTACGCGGAACGTTATTCCTGGTCTCCTGAAACTACGTCCTAAACTACATGTAGGAGCTTTTAAAGTCCGAACACTGTGCCAAATAGGACAACAGGCTTCCTTAGCTAGGATTTTAAAATCTCGCGCCATCAATGTGTACTGCGTCTCCGTAACGCTTATACAGAATCAGAGTAGCGTCGTTCATTTAACCTCACCATATCAAAATAAAGAACCATCTCGACTCACACTTCGTGTATCTCGAATCCCCGATGCTGCTTCCCGTGGCCTCGGTGGCGTAGGTATAGCATTGAGTCCTAGGGTAGAACTAGCTCTCTTAGACTGGATCTCAGTAGACAGTCGTTTATGCACTGTCCGACTAAACGGAACAGTTAGGACTCGGAAAAGTTTGGACACTCGTTGTCTCTGCCTACTCTCCCACTAACTGCAGCTCAGATGATGTAAAAGATGAGCTTTACAGAAAGCTTTCCGACCTCCAAAAAGTTAGGCGCTCCGATGCAGTAATAATGGCTGGTGACTTTAACGCTCAAGTAGGTAAACTAAGCGAAAAGGAAAGACACCTGGGTGAACCTTATAGTGTCGTGGCTCAAAGAACAGATAATGGCGACCGTCTGTTGCAGCTATGCTCAGATAACCGCCTCTTTCTTGCAAATACAAGCTATTAGCATAAAGAAAAACACCTTTTTGCATGGCAACCCCTGATCACATCGCTATCAGACACCGATGGAGGAGCTCGATAGAAGACTGTCGGACGTTCTCGAACACAAGATTGGATTCAGATCATGTTCTAGTGCGAGCGCGTATTTGTCTGCGTCTTACTGAACGTAGGAAAGACACTGCAAGGAAACCTCTTAAGGTCCTACTTAATGATAGCCAAGCTAGGAATATATTTCAGGAACAACTACAAAAACGTTAGGCAGCCATGTAAGTGATGCCCATCCCGAGGCAGCGTGGAATGATATCCGGAAAGCTGTGGAAACAACAGTGATATCTGCTAGTACGGTAAACCATAAGGTTAGGGAGAAACACGGGATCTCAGCAGCATCCACCGCACTGATAGGTGCTCGAAAACTCGTCCCATCTGGTTCTGAACATGACGAAGAGCGTTGTCAGCTTAAGCGTAAGCTGATAAGAAGCCTACACAATGGTCGCGAACAGTGGTGGGCAATAGACTACAGCTGACAACTATTCAGAATTGTTAAGGAAACCGGTGTTAAGAATCCAAGTGTTAGCGAAACTGTCTTGGAAAAAGATGGACATATTATTCACTCTCAATCCAGGAGATTGGATCGATGGGCAGAATATTTTAGGGATCAGTTCAACTGGCCTTCGGCCATACTTCGGTTTCTCACGATCTCCAGTCAACCTGAATGTGAAGTTAATGTAAGTACTCGGACTCTTTACGAAGTTGAAAAAGCCATAGGAAATCTGAAGCGTGGGAGACCAGCAGGCCCTGACAGGTTTATCCATGAGATTTATAAGGATGGAGGTCCAGCAGTGGGATTAACTGAGGTCTTAGGTAGAATTTGGGAACTGGACGTAATCCCATCTGACTGGTCTCAATCACTAATTGTGCCAGTCAATAAGAAAATATAAAATTCCTCTTGTGACAATCACAGAGGAATCAGCTTATCTAATATAGTGTCTAAAATATTAGCCTCAATAATACTTCGACGCCTAACTAAAGCTCGTGAAGAACAGACTAGAGAAAATCAGGCTGGTTTTCGACCTGGACGTGGTTGTATAGATCAGATATTCACACTACGTCAGGTTCTAGAACACAGACACACATTCAGACGCCCCACAATGGTAGTATTTCTCGACCTTAAGGCGGCATTCGACTCTGTTGATCGTGAGGTTCTATGGCAGTGTTTGTCACTGAAAGGAGTACCAAAGAAGTGCATTAACCTTATTCAGGCTCTCTACTCGAACACAACTGGTAGAGTGAGAGCTTATGGCGAACTGTCATCAGAATTGACTACCTCAAGTGGTGTTCGTCAGGGCTGTCCACTCTCCCCATTCTTGTTCAACTTTGTGGTCGACGTACTTTTAGAAATAACACTCTCCTCATCTAAATTTCCGGGGGTTGAACTTCTACCGGGAGGTTCACTTGTTGACTTAGAATATGCAGATGACATAGTTTTATT